CCCCAGTGTTCGAGATACCTATTACCGTTCTCCTTGAATTGTCAGTTTCCCTTTTCTTCATCTACGTATAAATGTGCTTTCTTTCAGGTTGTGCAGATGTAACACGCATCTTGTGAGTAACTGCTACTTCTCTCTTCATTGCATGGGTTACTTGTGTATTTTTGCTGTAGTTTTAACTGACGTATGCTAGGCATATTTGTTATTGTTGTTGCATGTAGTGGGGATATTATCTCCTGTTGGGGTGGTAGCCCTGTCTACCAGCATGCCAGACATGATTAATGAGAGTGGCTTTCAAACATTGAAAAGGCAGGCCTGATCATGTGACATGCAGACATTTGCTTGTATGTCCAGTATTTTATTAGACTTATTATGTATGTACGTATGTCTCTAGTTGACCAATCAATGAAATAGGAGAAGGGTATATTAACTTCCGCCATATACATCATGGATACAAAGAGAAATTTTGCTCTTTTTTGTGTATGCATTGTTGCTTTCTATTTGGAGAGATGTGAATGTAATTGTTATAACTTAATTTACATTGGAAACAAATGAATTCGTGCATTGTAATATGCTTAGATTTACATCACGTGTGGGGACACAAACACGAATTTTTATGGGAAAAAGGGAATTTTTCATATTTCTCACGAATCATTGGTTCGATCGTCGTAATATGTGTTGAAAATTGTAAATTTTGAAGCTATTACGATAATACACTGATATGTTGGGATTTTGGACTTTATCCATCGTCCTGGTTTTTAAGATAACAAATAAAAGCACGACGTTTCGGAAACTGGCCCAGTGATTGAGGCTAGCTCTTTCTAAGGGACCCAACTGAATAGGTGTTTTCCTTCACCTGAGGACGGAAACAGATCCAGTTTCCGAAACGTCGTGTTTTTATTTGTTATCTTAAAAACCAGGACGATGGATAAAGTCCAAAATCCCAACATATCAGTGTGTTATACACCATCGTCAGAATCCTATAGTAACTACTTATTACGATAATGATTTGTTTCTCCTGTTACTGCATCTGTCTTGTTCCAGAAGTCATAAATCTCCAAATACGCACGAACATGATAGTAGTTCACATCATTTACAAGTTTAAGTTCCAAATCCGCAGTACAGACTCTGATTTATGTTGCATAATTCTCTTGTTGTTACTTAGTGAGAAAGTTGACTGTAGCTATTAGAAAAACCTCCAACAGGCCTCATAATTTGCTCTAGTTCGATTTATTCTACATTTTGTAATCTGATTATATAAGATCCATTTTAATATCACTTTCATATCCAGAATAATCTGACTCCTTGAAGCTTTCAAATAACAACGTTATGCCTATTTCCTGGCTCCTCACCTGTCCTGATTATTTCTCACACTTCTAAATTTTAATAGTGTCTGCAATGGAAGGAACGTACGTTTATTGAAAATTATGAAGTCCATAGCAATTCTTTTAATAAAGCAATTGGCAACAGTGGACTGTTAATTGCTTGCTGCAGGGTTGCACGAAACATGTATTGTTGGCTCTATACTAAATACTAACAGGACTTTAAGCAACGTTGTTTTCTTCATTGAATTAACTTCAAGGGTTAGGATGTGGAGGATGATTCTAAATTATTGTCGGGGTTTTCGTGGCCTATTATTTTCAAATAGAAAAAAAAAAAATAAAATAAAACTGCTTACGGAATATGAAAGCGTAACTCAAGAGGTTTCATTAATTTTAGAATTAGTGCTGCAAAATGCTAAACAACTTCAACATGCGAGCCTTTCTTAGCACGTAAGATGTCCAAGCGGAATTTCCTTCCTAGTGTTCTTTCGACCATAGCCAGAGTTCTGACCTTCAGCTCATCAAGGGAGGACACAGGGGTCTTGTAAACAATGTCCTTAACGTATCCCCACAGGAAGAAATCAAGCGGCATAATATCGGGTGAGCGTGGAGGCCACGGAATTGATCCATCACGCCCAACCTAACACTCAGGAAAATGCATGACAAGAAATTCTCGGACATTACGAGCCCAACGTGGATGTGCTGTCATATATTCTTCCAGACATCAACGCGTCGAATACAACGTTGCTAAATAAAACTTTTTGAGTTACATTTTCATATTCCGTAATCAGTTTTATTTTCTTAATTGCGGTTTGAAAATTGCAGGCCACAGGATTCAGAATCACGCTGCAGTTTGTGACCTGTCTCCATTTGGTCTTGGGTCTAGCAAAGTCTATTTTTCCTCGCGATTTATAATTTCGACACACTTTAGAGAATCTTGTTTAGTTTCTAAACTGAAAATTCAGTTCGTTTCGAATATTCTCACTCATTTTCAAAAGTTCCTTCACATTTCACAGCGGAAGCTGAAGCACGCTATTCATGCTGTTTCTGATGGGACTGCAAGAGCAGAACACAGGCTTCGTAAGCCGGAGCAACTTAACATCTGAGTCAATAGACCGGAATGCGGAATGGACGGCCGAGCAATCAGAATTCGATTCTCAGAAGAGGAAGGAAGATTTTCTCTTATTCACGATGTTCAGACCTAATCTGGGGCCAATGTAGCCAAACCTGAAGCTGACCACATACCTCCATTTAATGCCTACGTTAAGAATGCATGGATCTATATTTCCATTCCCCCCATACTTATTCATGGGGTGACAATTAAGCGCAAGGATAACACAACTTTTACCCTAATTTACCCTACTTACGCTACTGTTACAAACTGCCCTAGGCCAAGTTTAGAAGGAACCCCAACCTCGACCTTCATATGGTTCTTGAAAATAGGAAATGTTTCTTTTTTCTTTTTTCTTTTCTGGATAGTATTCGGCAATAGAGATTTTTATTACGGTGTGTAACAAAATTATGTGTAGATGAACATGCTGACTCCATCTTCAGGGCAGAATCTTGAACACTGAGGATCAATGTAGTTGGTTCATACCAAACTACAGAGCGACATAAGTAATCGTGTATACATATTTATGGATAGATCATTGAAGGTCGCAGTGCGGGGGCCGATTTTTATGACCCATCCCTTACATACATACATACATACATACATAGGTTTATGAGAAATTAAGCAGAATATTGTGTAAAGAAGGCTAGTCCACCTCCGTTGCAGCTTGATATTATTATTTACGCAATTAATTTGTCTTTATTACACATGAATTTCATAGTAACCAGATCTGTGTTTCAGCAGGTTCTAAAGTCTTCTGACGATGGAGCATAACACTCAGAATTACTGGGTTTTCGTACTTTGTCCATCGTCCGGTATTCTAGAAATTAGAAAACACAACGTTTCGGAAACTGGACCTTTTCCTGTCCTCAGGTGAGGGGTGGGAAGACATGCACTTTGTTGGCTCCCTTAGAAAGAGATAACCTCAGTCAAGGGGCTTATTAAGCTAGCTGAACTTTTAGCCGTTCTAATTTCCTAAGGGAAGGTTATATACCGGACTCCACTGATTGAGGTTAGCTATTTCTAAGGGAACCAACAAAGGACGTGTTTTCCCACCCCTCACCTGAGGACGGAAACCGATCAAGTTTTCGAAACATTATGTTCTCTGGTTTCCAAAATACCGGACGATGGACAAAGTCCAAGAAGCAAGTGATTCTGTGTTTCAGTATTTACACTTCAAATTTCACGACAGCAATATGCTAGGAGCCGTAAATTTCTCAAATAATTCCATTGCTGCAGTAAGCTGTATGTAATGTATAAATAATTGCACATATTATAGGTCTCCTTGTGAATCTAATAGTTTCTAAGCTGCTCAAGGAAATGCTTACCTCTTCCTATATCCTGAGACGCTGTTGCGTGATACCTGGTAACCTACATCTGTCTCCTAGGTAACGCGACGAATAATTTCTCGTGGGTCTCGGATTCAGCGATTATTTATTGTGCTTTGCATCTACCGAGCGTTGTTACACAAAGAATACTCGTTGCTACAGACTTTCCTACGCAACGGTCTCAACGGTTTCCATTGTTTCGTTGCTCAGCGATGGACGACATATAACACGCCGCGATACGTTACCGTAGTCACAAGAGCTTGCCACTAATCCCAGTGCTGTGACGGTTGAATCCAAATAGATACCAAAGGGTTCCCATAGCAATTCCGGGCAGACGAATTCGGTCCATAACACTTCACCTTATTCATTGACAACCATTCTGACTGGGCCACAGTATTCTCCCATATAGGTCTAGGTCTTCAGCTGATCGGTTTCAGATCTGTGCTCACTTTTGCAACTCTACGTATAGTTTTGGAGTCCCTGTGCTTAACTAATTAAGCACTACGCCATGAAGGTTTATGGGGGAGTGGATGTATAGATCCACATTTTCTTGACCTCGGCACTGGTTGGAGGTGAGTGGTCAGTTTCACGCCCTGGCCGCTTTACCTCCGAGGAAAGAGACCCCGGTACCCATTGGATAGAAAGTTGGGTGAACCCCAGGGCTGGTCTGGATGACGTGGAGAAGAGAAAATATTTTACCGTGGCGGGACTCGACCTCCGACCCCTTGGTCGTCCAGCCTGTAGCTAATCGCTAGGCGACGCTTTTCGTAGATAGATAACGTGAATTGGAATGATGATGAATGAATCATTTGAATTGGCTTGATGAGGCACAATCTCGCTAATTTCCTGGAGTGACTGAGGAAATCCACGCACGCACATTTTAAAGCGGGATGAATGTGATGCGTTTTGTGTTTTGAACAAGCTGCAATACGCAAAAGACATTATGAAGTTTTCCTGATTAAGTTGCGCATGACCTTGATCACTGAAAAAACGCTCTTAACGGTATGCAAGAGGGTGGAAGGGGGGCATGGATTGAGACTCCTTCTGATAACCGTTGCTCTCCTCTGGTTCCTCCCATTTCCTGGAAACAGATCACTTCAGAAAGCATAACCCTGACTTCTTCAGAACTCCTCAAGAGCAGTATGTCCTGAGGACCACTCGCCTTGAAGGACATGATCACTCTAAGCCTCACAACTAAACGTGTCACTTCATTTACGGTATTTCTGTATCTTCTTGATTTAGAGGGAAGAGAATGCGTCAATTGCGGGGCGACGTCGACGCCGCTATGGCGTCGGGACGGCACGGGACACTACTTGTGCAACGCTTGTGGCCTGTACTACAAGATGAACGGGCAGAATAGGCCACTCATCAAGCCAAAGAGACGGTTGGTGAGTACCATACTACATGACTGACATCTCTGGTCAAAGGTTCTCTGTAACTTTATATGGAAGCCGTTATCAATTTCAGCTCCGTTCTCTATTCCGCAGTTCTAAAACCATTCCTTGAAGTTTTCGTGTCTGTTATCTGAGTTCTGCCATCTTCCCTTTTGCTGTGTGCAGCATGTTGTCACGTGTAGGGTGGTACGCGTGACGAAAATGACGGGTTCTAGTTCGGATGATTGGATTTATTAGCACCTTGGTTACTAGTTCTCAGATCATACATAAATACAGAGCCATCGCTGATTTACACAATTTCATTTCACCGTTACACACACTACGATTGTCCGTCTCCACTAGTCGTCTCCTAGCAACGGTTCTCAACACAAACTAGTACTTCAAATAATTATGAAGTATTCTTGCTATTTCGTCTTCAGGCACTCTGGAACTAAAATTTTTTCTGGACTCACTCCCCCTACACAGATCTTAACTTAGCAGTTGACTACAGTCAACTCAACTATGTGGGTTAAAGAAGAAAATCTGACCAAATTTTGAACAGTTTCTGAAACTTAACATAGCCCTATTTACTGACCGTATTTATATCATACTGTCGCGTATCGGGCGTATATCGCGACAAATAAATTCTCGATGTATTTGATATAGCGAATTTTATTTCACATTCGCTCTTACAATCACCCAAATTACAGATTTACGATTACTGCTATCTGCAGTATCACAATTAATACACTCCAAATGCCACAATACAACTGACTGGCTGACTTTACGTCTCGACTTGGCGGCTGTCACAGTACAACTCGCTGGTAGCCACATTAGAACTGACTGTGAATAGCCTTCGCTGTTCCGTATGTAGCCTCGATCGGACAATACGGGAAAACGGCGACGTAATAGGCACCCTTTTTGCCTGGCGCTGTGTTGCTATGTAACGCTAGTGGAGGTAAGCGCTGTTACTATCATAACGTCGCCGCTGTTGACTCGCGTTGCCTAGCGACCGCGATATCCCTCGGTGACGTCACCGCGGAGGGGAGTGGCGGGGCGGGAACTCGCCTATTACCGTAGTAACGCGAGCGTTACGTTCACGCCACGTGCCGCTGGGGGGGGGGGTAGGGGTCAACATGTCACAATACTAAATCACTTGATTTTCTACAAAAGCAAACTTAATTAAATGATAATTATATAAAGAATATCCACAGAATAAAAAAATTTTTAATGTGGCCTTCCGGTATGAGTTCAGGTATGCAGTGGCGCTATAAAACATTCTCACAGTTGAAATTTTATGTAGAAAGCTATGTGATCTAGTAGTCAGAGTTCCTGGCTATAGAATCAGATGTCCCGACTTCGATTCCCGACGCTACCAGATTTCCTGAGAAGTAGTTGAACGGGGTCCACTCAGCACCTTGAGGATAATTGAGAAGCTATTTCAAGGATAAAGCCGCTCCGGTCTAAAAACCGAGATTAACGGCCGTGGGGATTCGTTGCGCTGACCACACGACACCCCCTATCCGCTAAAGTTTGCACTAAACTACGCCGAGAAGTGGCGGTCGCTTGGTTGGTGTAGTTCGCTTACCGACCCAAGCCACGGGATGAAAAATCGGTTGGGCCAGATAAATATTTCCATTTCTCTCTTGCAGGAAAAGAAATGGAAAAGAGTCAGTTCCTTGCTTGAAGTTACCATTGGCCTGGTCATGGATAAATTTCCTGAATAACCTAACTTATTGCACATCATATACACTTCAACCCTGAAGATGAAGACAGCGTTTTCCCCCGAAATTTCGGTATCTGCTCACAGGACTGTAGAGTGTCACAATCCGATATATTATTAACTGAAGAATTTTTCGATATAGGCTGTCTTCAAATTGGATCAGATATTCGGACATGCTTGAAATTCTATGGACTTAAGTTTATTACTTCATCCAATTCAGTTTTAACTTGACTGCCCTGAAAATACAATAGTTGTTTGCCGTTAGGTTAGGAATACATCGATTTGGTAAGGTGCTGGATAGAGGAGGCGTGGTCGAGAGGGGTGAATTAGGTATTGAGGAAGGGAAACAAGGGTTGATAAAATGCACCCTTGTGCAGTTTGTTGCGTAGCACAGAAATAGGCTCATTTTAAATAAATTAGGACTGAACAAACCTACAGCTGGACATCTGTTGTTAGTCACACGGAAAACAGAGACATGTTAGAAGCAGGCAGGAAGCAGTGCTAATTTTGCTACCTTCGAAACGTCGGTTGATTTCAGCGCTCTATATCACGTTATATCACAGAAGACAGAATCCTATACAACCTAGTGAAACTGCAGGCATGATTAATGGCAGAATAACAATATATTGTTAATTGCATATGAGGATTAAGTAGATTCTTTACGCGGGTTCGAGCACCGATGAGGTGGATTACTTTCAATTGACCTAATCGTTCCAGCCGCCCTATGGCCCTGCGGTCGACTCAGCCTATAACAGAAATGAGTACCAGGTATCTTCCTGTGGGATAAAGGGCGGCCGGCCCATAAGGCTATCAACCTTACCTCCATCTGTGAGCCGATTGTCCAGAAAATGTGGGACCTTCCATGTCTCACAACCGTATAGGCCTCCCCGGCCAGTATACGTATTTAAATATGGTAGACAGCGTAGCCGCCGGTCACGGTAGCCGAGCGGTCTAAGGCATGGACTGTCTACGCTCGCTTGGAAACCGGGATCGTGGGTTCGAATCCCACTCAGGGCATGGATGTTTAGTTTGTGTGTGTGCGTTTTTCTGTGTTTGTGTACAGGTAGAGGCCTTGCGACGAGCTGAACACCCGCCCAAGGAGTCCTACCAAATGTCTAAGATCTAGAGAAACCGAAGTGAACGGAGAAGTTCATGGAGGTAGGCCTAGGCCCACTGGGGCTCTAGTGCCAAGGAAAAAAAAAAAGCGTAGTCAGTATAGCGACTGACTTCGTGCTGGACGATCGAGGGTTCGGAGTTCGAGTCCTGGTATGGCCAAGAATTTTCTCTTCTGCACGTCGTCCGACCTGCTCTGGGGCCTAACCAACCTCCTGTTCAGTGGGTACCGGTGGCTCTTTCCCCAGGCGTAAAGGGGCCGGTTCGTGAAGCTGACAACTCACCTTCAAATAGTGCCGAGGTCAAGAAAATGTGGATTTATACATTCACTCCCCATACGCCTTCATGGCCTAGTGCTTAGTTGGTTAAGCACAGGGACAACTTTGCCTTTTTAACTGCAGTGGCGTAACTTAAGTTTGTGATTAGTTCACGTGATGTTATCAGTGACAACAGAGGCACGATCTTGCTCCATATCACATCAATGACGGCTTCAGTATTCTCCTATTATTCTTTATTTTAATTCACATACAGAAGCATGCCGATAGTGTTTTGTTTTCAAAGTGACACACTCACTCGTTACGTATGTGACAAAGCAGCAAAATGATTTATTGATTCCCGTCTCTTTTTGTTGTAAAGGAAGTGGTACCGGCCATTACACTGATGGAACACTGGCTCGGCTATTAGCTGGTCCATTCTTTCGTTAAAAGGCTTGTCATTGTGAGGCCCCAAGCCTGCCACGTCCATGAGATGGGTCCAGCACTTCTTTTATGTTGTGTAGCGGATTACCATGTCGGCTGCTTATGGGCGTGTCTGAGTCTATATTGTATTTGAAATTCATTTACAATAATTTATTTAATATGAAAATAGTGACATTTTAATGTACGCGCTTACAGATTGATGAGTGATAAAGAGATGCGAATGATAAAAGTGGATTTTTTCCTTGGATTTTCGGTACTTGTATCATCCAGAGCTAATATTTTTAATACTTTTAGTAATGTAACAGACTGACGGTATGTTCTCTTTAAATCGCATTGTAAAATACTTTCCATGCATTTGTCTGTGGACCTACCTGTGAAAGCCCCTGAAACCTTTAGCCTGCTGTTTCTTGAGCCGCGTATTAACGTGTGGAAACAAGTAAAGCGTTACGTTCTAGCCTGTGTGGCGTTGATACTGTCTCGGGGTGCCGATAAGGGTGAAGACACAACGTTAGGTGCTGTTTAAATACGTACCAATTAATCGTCCAAATTATTTCTTTAACCAGAGAGTTAAGCTGTCAATAAAAGCAAAAGTCGACCCATTTCAATTTGAAGACATGGTTCTCCATTTTAGGTCAAAGATTACAGCCATATTTGTGCCTAAGTGCTCTTTTGGAAGGTTCGGACGCTTCGTACGTTCAGTGGAAGAACTGCATGAAGCGCCGATATTGATTCCCTCCTTACCTAATATTTCTTATTTTAGACGGATCGGAAATTTACTGGCAGATTTACCGCGGTTTCGCCACACCTGCAAACTACAGGGTGAATCGTATAGAACCGGCCCGATGAATTTGCTAATAATTCTGCAGGTGATGCATATAACCGCTCACAATTACGACATAATAATCCGTGGGCCGTGCTGAGTCGAATGGTGTGCGCATGATCCGGCAAGTGGCAGCCCTTATGCTGCAAGGTCAAGGACAATCCCGAAATGTGTCTGCAGTGCGCAGGCGACAGTCATGGAGTTCACTGTTGAACAGAGAGTGTTCCTAATGCCTACTTGAAAACGGCGGACACTTTCAACACCTGCTCTGATCAGGGCACACAATCCAAGATAAGATATGTGTAAATTACTTTAATATCTGTATGGTATATTTTATATTACAGCTCATTTCGTCGGGCCGGTTCTATATGAATCACCCTGTATAATTCTATTTTAGATAGTCCACGGCCACTTCTTTCATCTCTGGTCCGTCATACATCTCTACGGAACAGGTAGGGCTAAACTTGTATTGGTTAGGTGCTCCCTTCGAAACTCGGCTGGTGAACTGCTTATTTTGGCTGATTTTTTCGTGTTGTTCTCAGTCTCTCCGAGCAAATAATGAGATACTGTTTCGATTAGGATCACAGCCGCTTGCTTGCAGATTCTTTCCAATTCACTATCCGACGCTATATTGTCTTCATGCTGAAAACATCGTTAAGTA